GATCAAAAAATTTGACGATATGTGACCAGTAAATAAATCTGTAACTTAAAATTATGAATATGTGACCATTAATCACAAAATGTGACTTTTTTATCTTTATTTAATAAATATTTTTAATTAATTAAATAAATACCTGATTTTTGAATTTTTAAACTATTTACCTTATTTTTGAATTGAGGTAAAGAATACACCTTAAATATGATTTTTTCCCTTAAAAATATTGAGTCTAACTCCACCTAATAAAACTGGCTTATTAGGAGAGGGTTGCTCCCACCTTATTAAGTGGATCATTTATATTTTCACAAGTAATGTGAGATTCTAATAGTCCATAAAAATCCCTTGGTTAATTTATGTCGTTATAAATCATGGATAATCAATATTCAAATTTGATGTGCACTGTTGCACTTGTATTTAACATTGATGTTGAGCATTGTGTGTTGGATGGAATATGTGTTAACAATCGAATTAATCACATTTAACTAATGATCTCTCCCAGATAAAATTAGCATTATTCACATGTCTGAATTTACATCTCTATGTAAAATCATACACGTATAAACACATTAATTTGCAAAAATTCAACTAAGATTACATAAACTATAAAAAGTATCTCCCAATCTCTTACTATAACATGTCGCTTATTGTGCGAGTATCGTCCATAAACTAAGCAATTGGTGAGCAAACAATTGAATGTCTTCGAACACATAATAAACAATTAACATATAATCGTGTCGTGTGTTTTAGTCCTTGGATCCAACATCTTTCATAGAGCAGTTTAATCCTCCAATATTGTAATATAAGTACTTCAACTTCCGAACTTGATATCTTGGTCAATGAAATTCAGATTTCACCCAACATTCATCCCTTTTGATCAATTCTCATTCCTTTTCAACCGTTCTCAACCAATATTGAGGGTTCTCCTAAAATATTCAATAAACATACAAAATTAAGTATCTAACCAATAAAAGTACTCTCAAACGTCACTTTTGGTGGCCTTGATAAGTGCATAAGTCACACTTGTACATAAAAACTCATTAAACTTGAACCTTTGTTCGTCTTTGAATAAAGCAACATAAAAACGACTATAAACACAAGTATTCAATGTTTTCTTAAAGTGAATATCTATATCACAAAATGAAATACAAGAATTAACCGTTATCTTACAAACTCCATATATCATATATTCAGAACCTATCTGGTGGCACTGATAATCAAAATTACAACCGTTATGGCCGCACAATTTGACTTCTTTGTGAGAGGGTTGGGTCCCATTTTTAAAAAAATTAACGGTCAAAAAAGCAATGTTTCCCTGATTTTAAGCTTTGCCAGACAAGCACTCAATTTCTAAGTGCATTAATCATTCTCAATTCCATCGATACTACTTGAAACAAGTTATGAACTTCAACTTTTAAAGTACCGTTTCTCAATTTCAAATCCCTAGTGCATCAATGAAATCTCTTCTAATTCATATTGCTCTCTTGGTTTTCTTCAATTTCTTTTTCTCGTACTTAAACTAGACAAATGATATTGAGCTTTTTTTCATCATCAACTCAACTATCCTCTAAATCCTTACACGACAATATTGGGCTTATAACCAATATATTAGGTAGATATTCGTTCAATTTGTTGTAAATAAGCAAGTTAAAAAGTCTCAAATAAGTGCATATTATGCACTTTTATCAATAAGCAATATGTTTATGTATGGTGTCAACCTTACTTATGAAACACATAATAATGATTAAGGATATACTGAAGTTATTGACGGCGTGTAATGTAAATACACGAAGTAACACAATATAATACTAGGTTCGATACCATAGTTGGAAGCTGGCAAAGCCAAACAAAGCTTTAGAACATGTTTGGTACGCATTAAAAACTATTTTTCTGATTTATTTGGGATGAAATATGATTGGACAAAAAATTCTTGAGCCAAACAAAGCTTTATCATCCAACATTTAGGCCCTATTTGATTTGTTGAACTTTCCATGGAAAATAGAAAATATTGTCCCACTTTTGCGTTGTTTGATGGCACAATTTCCCAAGGAAATTTTTTCCCCCCAACCCCCTCGGCCACTCATGCGCCCTTTTTCTCTCTTGGTGGGAAAATGAATTCCAGTTTTCTGGCCAATAATTTTATTTTATTTTTGGCAGTGGAAATAAATTTCATAACCAACTGTAAAAAAAAATTACTTTAATGGACAATTTTCATATAAAACGAAACCAAACGAACACTAACATTTGATGAAAAAATAGTGAAAAATAATTTTCGATCAAACTATTTATAACCAATTGTGGAAAAATTTATCACTTTAATTGACAATTTCCATATAAAACAAAGTCAAACGAATACAAAAAGATCCAAAAATTTTAAAAATTTTCGGGTGGAAAATTATACAAATTAAACACACTTAATTAACAATTTCCTGAAAAATAAGTTTATTTTCCCTATATCATTTTCTTTCCGTCCATTTTTTACTATTGCAATCAAACGGATCCTAATTTACACCTCATCCAAAAATTGGGGCTCAATCAGGGGCACAATCTCAACATTTTGAATTTCGAATATCGTATAACGGCCAAATTATCGCCTCTCCACCCCAAATCCACTTTCAATTCCACCAAACAGTAAACTTTTGTTCATAACACCCCATTATCCATTGAAAAAATCTTCGACGGCGTGTGTGTGTTTGTAGGTGAAAATGGCAACTCTAACACCAGGAATCGTACTCAAACTTCTTCAATCCATGAATTCCCACACAAAAGTCACCGGCGACCACCGTTCACCGCTCCTTCAGGTTGTCGGAATCGTGCCGGCCCTTTCCGCCGCCGATTCTCTATGGCCCCACCATGGGTTTTACGTGCAGCTCTCCGACTCAATTAACTCCACCTACGTGTCACTTTCGGACCGAGACACGGAACTTATACTCACAAACCGGCTCCAGCTCGGCCAGTTTGTCCACCTCGACCGGTTTGTCTTCGATTCCTCTCCGGTTCCGGTAGCCATCAATGTACGTCCCATTGCCGGGCGCCATCCTTTTATTGGAACCCCTGAACTCTTAATTGCTCGGATTTCACCTTCCAGAAACGGGTTTGTTATTCAGCCCGTATCACATTCCGATCCTTCTGGGGATCCCATTGCAGCCTATTTGTCGAGAACTGGGAAGAAGGAGGAGGATTCGGGTTCAGTAAGTAGTGTTGCTGATGGAAAGGGGGGTAAGATTAGCAGGCAAGTGAGTGCTCCCAAAGAGAATGTAAACGTGAATGTGAATTATGCTGATGAACAGGGTAGTATCAGTAGAACGGATTCAGAGCATCGTTCGAAGAGGTTTTCGTCCCCAGGAGCATTGAAGCAAAGATCAATGTCAGCCACGAAGAAAGCACAAGGGGCGGAGAGGGATCCATCGCCCTCTGGGAAATCGTTGAAGAGGTCTGGTTCTCCTGTGCCTTCAAAGTGCGTGGTGCGGGGCCTTGTTGCTGCGAAGGAAGAAAACAGAAGGTCATCAAGGGAAGCGGCCATAATTGTGCCTTCTAGGTACCGACAGCCATCGCCCACCACTGGCAGGCGGCAGGCAAGTCCGGTGGTGGCTAGGCGGATGTCGCTGTCCCCTGGCCGACTGTTGTCAAGTGGGATTAAAGTCACACCAGCAGTGGACTCTTCTGAGAAGAAGAAGAAGATGGCTACTATTGCAGCTGGTAATTCTAAAGTTGCAGAGGCCCTTGTGGGGCCTGCAAAACTGGGCAGGAAGAGCTGGGATGAAGGACCGGCTCTGGCTGGCGGAGGTTCTTCTGAGCCGAAAGAAAAGGCTGGAACAAAGAATAGACTGGATTTTCAGGCTATTTTGAGAACACAGGTTAGTTCCCTTTTCAAATATCTATAATTTATACTAATTTCTTTATTGCAGCGCATAAGTGGGATCATAATTCTGGTCAGTTGATGAATCCATGTTTAATTTCTAGAATTGTACTTTTAGCTGAGGATGATTATTGTGATTAGAATGAGTTAAAAACATTTTTACCTATGTGGCTGTTACTTGATGCATATGTTAATCAGCAATGATCTTCCTTGACATCTATTGGTTATATGTCATAATTTTACAGGCTGCTATATCTAGGCGATTAAGTGATGCAAATGAGCAACAATTGTATCACAGTTATTCGGATGAAAAACGAAAACCTAACGGGGCTGAGAAACCTCCTCTGCTTGAGAATCCAAGCGATTCATCTCCAATAATCACTATTCATGAAAAGAAATGGACTGATGGAAGTATTCCACTGGATACGCTCTCTTCAGGCCTCACATTGCTTGGGAAGGTATATTTCGTTTTCAATTTAATTGCCTGTATAACAATAAGTTGTTGTGTTCACTGCTTACTTGAATTGCTGTATTTAACTCCCTTGAATCCTTCATAGTTGTGTTCAATGAGCTCATCTAAAAGCTTATGTTGTCACTTCATAGAGAAGAACACATTTTTGTATTTACATTTAGTCTTCAACATCCACCATCATGGGCAATCTGAATCTATTTTTCATCAACAGATACGTACAAAATTTTCGTAAGCAGACCAGGGTGAAACTTAAAGTCGTGCCTGTTTCATACCATGTCCAGTAAACTTATCTAATAGTTAAAATTGTTAGAGGGGAAACACATTTATTTAAATCTAATCTTCAACAATTAGAATATGTATATTGTCATGGTACAGGAAGCTATGAAAAGGAGATTAGTTGCTTCTGCAGCTGCAGCCGAAGCTTTAGAAGAGGCCATTGCCACAGAGTCTATTGTGAGGAGCCTAAGGTGATTATTCATTTCTTTCTCTGCCATTTTCTCTCTCTCTGAACACAAAGTTCTTCTTGGATCAACTGGTTGAATATGTGTTCTATATACAGTAATTGTGTAGGAAATCAAATGCAGATCATAGTTGAATTTGGTTTTGGACTCTGGTTAAATTAATACGCTCTGACCTCTGATGCTACTATATGCAACTCCGTTGACCGATGAACTAAATTTTTCAATTTCGTTATGACAATTGTATTTTATTTTCTATTGATTCCAAGGGGCTATTAAGAAGTGTTGAGCTGAAACCTAAATGAGCATCGAATCAAATGTAGTTTACATTAAATAGAATTCCTTCCTAGCTGTGAATTGAATTAATAGTGTTGTTTGTAATGATAGATATCATGGGTCATAACAGATGATTCATTTGAACATTAATACCTTTTCACCTGTTTACTGTTCACAGCATGTTTTCAGATCTCTGTATGACATCAAAGCCGGAAAATCCTCTACCTACTATTGATCGATTTATGTCAATTTATGAAGATGTTGTGAAATCTACAGAAGTGGTTGAATCAATTGCCATAAATCATAATTCGGTAACTCGTCACAATATCCAAAACGAGCAATCAAAACCAGCTGCCCTTTGGGTAGAAGCTGCTCTAGCTACCAATCTTGAAGTCGTCTCCCTCTTGACTAGCCCAAATTTCGAGACTTCAATGAAATTGGAAGAAACTACACAGAAACAATCTGCCACTGCACCTGTCAAGAATAATACAAAAGTGATTTCATCATCTTTTACTGGAATATGGACTCGAGGCAATGGAATGAATGAGACTGTAGAACTTGCCAAGAATTTGCAATTGGAGATGCAAATGTGGTTTTTAAGGTTTGTCGAGGAGTCCCTAGATGCTGGTTTTCAGGTGTTTGGAAAGAACAATGCGAAGAATCTTCATGGTGGTCCAATAGGAGCAATTGTATCACAGTTGAAGCGTGTAAATGACTGGTTGGATCGTGAAGTGTCTAAAAAGGACGAGCTGATGATGGGAAAGATCGAGCCTCTAAAGCGAAAGATCTATAATTTTCTTATGCAACATATCGAGCAACGGTAAAAAACTCAATGACAGGTGCCTCACCTTAATTCCCCACGTTACTTGTTATTGATAAAACTCGTATTATTTTTTTCCTTGTTCAAGCGTTTCATCAATCTTGTGAAATGCTTGATAAAATAATAAAATATGGACTATGTTATATCCAAGCATCAACCAGAGGATGTTTATTGCCTTATGACTGTTTCAGACGTTGTGTTTTCATGTTTTAGGGTGTATAATTTAGGCTTATATAGCTGTTTAGAGGGTTAACTATCATTCATGTAGTTGATTTTCTAACTAGATAGATACTGATTAGTTTTGGGAGGATGTCTGTGAATCGACGTTAATTGGCGGACCCTTTATAAGTTTCTAACTAAGACTTCTTGTGGTGTGACAAGTTCAAGCTACACGTCTTTTTACAGAACCCATCTTTGATTTGGATAATGAACTTTATGACACTTAAGGTTGTATTTATTGGTCTTTAGTGCTTTGTTTGTTACTATTGCAAGTCCTTGGCATGAATGCATTTTGTACCCAAGACACTTGAAAGTATCATTTCCGAGCCCTTTTCAACTTCAAACGTAGAATAGTATTAAGGAAGAAAAGGTACTAAAATTTTGTCCATCATACGAGTTTTCTATTCCAATTGAACAAGATTGATGAAAAAATCAAGTTAAAATATTATTCATAATACTGTCAAGTCCCGTTTAATACTCGGTCTTCAGATCCATATCTTTTAGTTTGAAATAATTTTCCTCATGTAAGGTGAAATGTGAAGTGACATATTAGCCTTCGCTAATGAACTCTATGTAGCCATCCAAGAATTTTGAGTGTTCATATTGCCTGTCTTTGAAAACTTTGTACCAGTCACCTTAATGTGTCGCTCAATAAATTCAATAATGGCCATATATCATTGAACACAGTTATTGAAAATCTTTCTATAAAAAGAAATTAAAATTTAAGAAGATATTTTTTTTATAATTTACTATTATATTGGAATCTCTATATGACATGTATTTTACTTAGAGTGTGTTTGATTGCGATTTGCGAGTATGAAATTTTGCATGTAAAGAAAATAAATTTTAGGCAATTCAATTGTCTAGAATTTATTTGTATGAAAATTATTGATTAAATGTGTTTGATTGATTTATTTAATGGAAATAAAATAAATTTTAGGCAATTCAATTGTCTAGAATTTATTTGTATGAAAATTATTAATTAAATGTGTTTGATTAATTTAGTTTTCTATTTAGAAAATATTATACTTATCCATTTTTTATTGGTGGGTTGATGACAAAGTGGATAAATAAGAAATAGTGAATTAACTGGAAATAAAATCCTAACAAAATTTTCTTGATTTTGAGGAAAATATGGTCACGTAACCAAAAGTAGGAAAATGTATTCCATGAAAAAAATGTCAATCAAACAGCATAAAAGTAGAAATTTGGATTGAAAAAAAAACCATTTTACATGGAAAATATTAGCAATCAAACTCACTTTTCTTAGTTTTATGGGGTAATGTCACTGATTTTGTATAAATGCAACAAGGAAAGAATATACTACGCAAAAATTATCACCCGGACTCAGGCACCGGCCGGCAGCCGGCGTCTGCCGGTCAATCCGCAATTTTGATATTATTAATATTTATAATAACGTGAATTGAGAAATATTCAAAGAATTATCCCCCTTAGTGGGTTCCCACTCCGGCGGTCATGCACATCACATCACATCACCTTTTTTTTTTTTTAATTTATTTATTTTCGATTTACAAAGTCAAATATTGATAAAAAAAAAAAATCCATTGTTTAATTTTATTTGTCGTCGTTTAAAAAGCTCGAAGTTTTAGATGAATGGTTTAATATTGTATTAGTGAATACGCCCTTGTTTGATGTAACTAAAAAATTTGGATTTTTAGTAAATTTTGATTAAATATGATGAATGTGTGATTAAAGATGATTTTTTATTAACTTTTTAAATTACACCGAGTCGAGATTACACAAGTCTTAAGTTAAACTAGAACGGTAAATTATTCACATATGGATTGAACCTTCGAAAAACATAACTTAAATTTTAGTACTATGTACTAAATACATGATAAAAAAATATTAATAATATTCATGCACGATATAGATACATTCATTCATATAAATGGTTTTTAACTATTTAATACAATACATTTTCAGTAAAATTTAAAAAGAAATAAATTACTTATTTTAATAGCATAATCTATAAAATAAGAGATATTTAAAGAAAAAAGTACTTATTCTATAAGTATCTAGAATTAGTAGAATTTAAGGAAAAGAATAAAAAAATAAAGACATTGTGAATGCACTCAATATTAATTATTTGATTACGCGTTTACATTTTGGAAACATTCCAATTTTCTACCAGAAAAACCTGTCAATTCTCTCTTCCCATTTGCGTTTATTTCAAGAAAGGTGGGAGAGAAAAATTCAAAACCATAATCCATCACCGCGTTTCACACATAGTAAGAATTATATATTTGTATATCAAGAGAGAGAATTGGTAAACAAATGGTTTTTCATACACAATAAACTCTTCAATTTTTCCATAGTAGTCTTGTACATACATTGTGACAGTGAACTTATTCTGTCTGACTTTTTCAATAAATAACCTTTTGGGTTCATATTATTTTGCCTTCGGAAGTCTTTAGTTTCTTAGGTTTCCAAAGGGTAGCAGAAGGTTTTGAAGTTATTTGTATGGTGTTTTTCTGTTTTCTTGCAGTGTTTCGGAATAGGAATTTTGGATTGATTGCATAGTAGTTTAACAATAAGAGGATTTGATTTAATTATTGGGTGTAGTTTCTTTACAAGTTCTTGATTGATTGATTGTTTTCAGGTAAAAGGGTTCTGATATACCCCCTCTAATAGTGGTATTGGAATTCTTTAAAATTAATTATTTGATTTGTTAAAGCTGTGAAGTGTTAAAAGAGGTTTATGGTGCTTAAGTTTAATTCTTAGTAAAAGGAAAAAAAAAAGCAGCAATAGATGGGAAATAATTGCGTTAGTGCAAGGATTTCTGAGGATGGGTTCTTCTATTCAATTTATCATTCATTGCGGTGGCCCGATATGATTACATATAATAAAAAAGAAATAAGCCAGGATGGATCTAATGTCGCGAAAGAGCCAGAAGGTCGGAATCCTGTTCAGAATATGCCCCCGGTATTGGTGAAGATAGACAAGGATGAGATTAATGTGGTACAGCCCGTGAAATCTGAAACGGTTATCATAGTTACAGAAGAGGTAAAACAAACTGATGCTAGAAGATGGGAAGAGGTGATCAAGGTCACGAATGAGGATGGAAGTATTGTTCAAACCACTACACCGGACCACTTGATCATGATCAAGAAGGAGAAGGCAAAACCGGTGCAGCCCTCGAAACGCAAGCAATCTCACAATGTAAAGAGGTTGGCAAGTGCTGGTCTTCAGGTGGATTCAGTGCTAAGGACCAAAACAGGACATTTGAAAGAGTATTATAATTTGGGGCACAAACTTGGACACGGGCAGTATGGAACGACTTTTCTTTGCGTGGAGAAAGAAACACAAAAAGAATATGCATGTAAATCCATTGCAAAGAGAAAATTGTTAACTATGGACGATGTTGAGGATGTGAGGAGAGAAATTGAGATCATGTATCATTTATCTGGGCATCCTAATATCATTTCTATTAAAGGGGCTTATGAGGATTCTGTGGCTGTTCATGTTGTCATGGAATTGTGTGCAGGAGGTGAGTTGTTTGATAGAATTGTTAAGCAGGGGCATTATTCAGAGAAAAAGGCAGCTGAGCTTACTAGGACAATAGTTGGTGTAATAGAATCATGCCATTCTTTGGGGGTCATGCACGGAGACCTCAAACCCGAGAATTTTCTCTTTGTGAACGAGGATGAGGATTCGCCCATAAAGACTATAGATTTTGGATTATCGGTGTTCTTCAAACCAGGTATGATCTTTCTTGATCAAGTGCAGTGTTCATTTAATTACTAATAGGAGTTTAAGTGCAGTGTTATATTAATAGACTCTTTAGTTACCCTGAGAACCTTGATAGATATAACATGATCTGTCGAAAGTTAATATGTCACCAAAATGGAAACTAGAGTGATTGGGTAAATTTACGAGGCAGATTTTCACTATGAGCTTCAGGAATAGAAGTTAATTTTCATGTATGAACAACAGGTCAATTTTTCACTGATGTGGTTGGGAGCCCTTATTATGTTGCTCCGGAAGTGCTTCGCAAGTGTTATGGACCAGAGGCAGATGTATGGAGCGCAGGTGTGATTATTTATACACTTCTTTGTGGCGTGCCTCCATTTTGGGGTGGTAAGATATAGCAAATTTTTGCCCTCAAGTTTGCTTGCATCTGAATTCTGACACCAACAGTTCTCATGCTTCTGTTTGATTTCACACAGAAACTGAGCAAGAAATATTTGAAGAGGTTTTGTATGGTGATCTTGACTTCTCATCAGATCCTTGGCCCAAAATATCCGAAAGTGCTAAAGACTTGGTGAAGAAAATGCTTGTAAGAGATCCAAGAATGAGGCTAACTACTCATGAAATTCTTTGTAAGTTTCGTTAATTAGTTTTACCTTTATATGCGTAAAATTCAATGCTATGAATATTGAAACTATTCTAACCACCAGACGAAAATGAATTAATGATTACTCTTTATCTTTTTGCTTAAAATACTTGGAATCTTGATTATATAAATGGATTAATAGTAGAAGTTTCAAGTTTCATCAGTCATCGCTAATTTTGAATTAATGTTATGTAAATTTGTATATTCATTGTTATTTTCTTGTTGGACTGTGTTAATCTGTCGACATGTGATATCGAGTTATCACTATATACTGACAGCTATCATTTCTTGAGTCAATTCAACATTTATCGTTAGCCATTGGAAATTCGGAATAATTGTTAAGATAAAATTTGAAAAACTCTGGAACTGTTTGTTTCTAACTGCAGATTTTCTTTTTACATATAGACTTCTTCTATTCAGTTTAAAACTGTTTTTTTCCTGCAGGCCACCCATGGGTGCAGGCCAATGGAGTAGCTCCCAATAAGCCTCTTGATTCTGCAGTTTTAAGTCGCTTGAAACAGTTTTCGGCCATGAACAAGCTTAAGAAAATGGCTCTTAGGGTACGTTTCTTACATCTTAACCAGAAAGAAAGAGAAAATAGATCATTGAGCAACTGAGAATATACGGACAGTAATTCTTTCATTATTGATGCATATACAACTATAATGCTAGAACAAAGTACAGTTTATGTTTCCTCATGTTTGGTACAGTATTAAACAACACAATGTTAACTTCTTTTTATTATATTGTTCAGTGCGCAATCTTCCTACCAAACATGCATTTGGTGTTTGTGGCTATTTCTTGAACCAATTTGTGTGCCTCTAGGTCATTGCGGAAAGTCTCTCCCAAGAAGAAATTGCAGGGTTAAAAGAAATGTTCAAAATGTTAGATACGGACAGCAGTGGTCATATCACTTTCGAAGAACTCAAGGCTGGTCTAAAACGATTTGGAGCTAATCTTGATGAGTCTGAGATATATGATTTGCTGAAGGCCGTAAGTATTATTTTCAGTTTCCCACTTTGGCAAGTTTGCATATATAATATTTATATGAAGAGATACCATATTCATCGCTTAGCCAGTATATTTTCTTGAAATGCAGGTAGATGTTGATAATAGTGGTACAATTGACTATGGCGAGTTCATTGCTGCAACTTTGCATCTGAACAAAATCGAGAAGGAAGATCATTTATTTACTGCTTTTTCGTACTTCGACAAAGATAAAAGTGGTTACATTACACGAGATGAACTTCAAAATGCCTGTGAAGAGTTCGGGATGGATGATGTTCACTTGGAAGAAATGATTCAAGAAGCTGATCAAAACAATGTAAGTGATTCTACTGTCAGTGTCGCTTTAACTTTCTAATTTTGATAGTAAAACTCATTTTTCACTTCAAATAATATCTTCCAAACAAACACTTAGTATTTGTGTATTCATCCACCATTAAAAAGTGATTGGTTTTTACTTTTTCAGGATGGAAGGATAGATTACAATGAATTTGTGGCTATGATGCATAAAGGGGATACAGATTTGGGTAAGAAAAATTTACAGAACAATACTATTAATATTGGATTTAGGGAGGCAATGCGTATCTATTGACGTCAAATAAAAAGGAATTTTTTTTTTTCTTTCTAATATTTCATTATGTATACAAATCCATTAGGTGAGCATCAACAAACTGTAAACTAGGATTATATTCGTGAATACTGGATTATTTTTTTCCCCTCATTTTATGATAGCAAGTAAATAATGTTTTAATTATTGAAAATGACTTGTCTTGTGACAAATTGTCGAGAATTTCATATTTTCGCATTTCATAGGCCCCCAAAAACTGAGAAATTCTATGAGATCGATCAAGTTCAGTTTAGTATTTTTGGCTCACAAGTCGAAATTCCAATAAATTTTGTTTAACGTAAAAGAATAATGCTATCGACCAACTTGTGAAAAAAAAAAAATTGCTCTCAAGCAGAATATAATGAAAAGAAAAATAAATAATGAAGAAAGTAAGTCCAAAAAGAGAACCAAACTAATTTTTATTTTTAATTAATTCAAGGTGAATTAATTTTTATTTTTGATTCACTGGCCATATTCATTTTGGAATTGAGCTAGACATGGATGAATTTTGTGTTCAGAATTTCCTATAATGGCTTGTGTGTTAACTTATGAATGAAGTTTAGCCTTTTTCCATTTGCCAAACAAAGAACAAAAGAATAAAGTCAATGGAACCATCCATTTCATTTCAAAACTAATAATTCCATGTGAGCCAGCTCACTTTATGATTAATCATTAATTATTAGAACATACAAAATCATGATAAAAATCTTAACCATAATAGAGGCCACATATTGCACCAAGACAAACAACCCCTTAAAGAATTTCTCAAAAATATATTTTTGAAATTTTATTTTCACTTATAAGTAAAAAAAATTAATTTAAAGAAACACCCTATTGCAAGTCCCAATCCACATTATAAAGGGATCCATTATTCCAACAAATACAAATTGTTTTAAAAATATTATTGAAAAAAAAAAAGAAAAAGAAAGACTAAGAAGACTCAAAACAGCAAACAAGATTACATTCTTCCAAGTATAGTATATTATTTATTTTAATACAAATAAAAAAAATGGCTTATGTAATTACATTGCAAAATAACAAGAAAACTCTCCCCTGTTGTGGGTTCTGCTGGATCCCTCCACCACCCCTTTTATCTTTCTAAAAAACTGCCATATCTCCCAAAAAAAAAAAAAAATTAGTTTAAAAATAATCCAAAAATAATTTTGAGAGCAAATGAGTAAACATATACTTACCCTTTCTGCATCTTCTTTGTATCATTTTCTTGTTTTTTTTTTTTTATCAGATTTTTCTGAGTATAATAATTCAGTTACAGCTAGTAAAATGACCAATGGCCCCAACCATACTGCATGCCATCTCCATTAACTTCCCTGCATATACAGAAACATGGAATCAGATGAGCAAATGACAAATCACGAAAGTTCGACCAAACAAAATAATAGTTTTGATTTCATTCGTAAAACCGTCACGTCCATCTTACCGAACATGATAGTGTTCATTCATATGTCTAACCTCAAAAAATGTAAACAACCTCATCTAAAAGCTTGTAAATATACGAAACATCAAGCAATACGAACTTATGACATGTCAAATTATGATATATATGATTGTACATGTGTTGTAACTATAAGAATAAGTCAAAAGACAGGTTGGTCTCAACATAGAAGTAAAGAATCACAGCTAAGGCTAGCCTGGAATTGTATGCATCTTTCGTACGGCATTAACTCAACATGTTTGGTTAAGCTTAAGAAGTTCACTTATAAGTAAATAATTAATTAAGTTTATATTAGTCAAAGCTGAAATAAGTAAGCTACTTACTATTACAGTGAGGTAAAAATTACTATCAAAATAAGTAACTCAATATATCTAAACACATTTAGAAATAGAATTTCACTTAAAAGTAACTTGTACAAAGTATAAACCCATTTCTGAAGGGTTCTTTGATGTGGGATGCCATTCATTTTCTAATGCTTCACCAACACAATTTGTACCTAATAATATTGAATACTAAACTATTTGTCCGAAGGGGCGTGGCTCAATTCATACCATTCAATTTTAAACTATATGTCTGGAAGTGAAATGTGATCATAACATGCTGCCAAACAAGTTTCCCAAACATTGACTCATTTTTATCTACGAGTTAAGTACAAGCTTAGATGCCAATAGCTCGACCTGTATAGAGGGAATTAGAAGAGTTCAAATTTTGCTCATCGTGGAATAACAAACATGTTCTAAGTCAATACACCATTGAAGAAGAAAGCAGAGGTGATAAAAAAGCGAAAGTGGCATTCGAAACTCTTAGAATATGTTTGGCTCATGTTTATATAAACGCTCAATCCATTTTCTGTCCACATGTTTCAAGAGAACCACGATTACTTGTTACTACTAACTTATCCACCACTCATTTTGATTATAATTTAAACCATTTATAAGGATTTCCGATACATGCTCTTAGTGAATTATTCCTTTTTGACTCCCAATTAACCCTTCCCATAAATTCGATCAAAGATCCACCAAACTAAGTTGGGTTCTCGATAAATTTACATTACAAGAAACTTTCACCATCACCTCTACCCGCCAATTCAATCATCAATGTCACCAAATTACCCTTGGATGAAAATTTTTGCAAGGTTTATAAGAATCATAAAAAGACCCTTCAATGGAGTAACTGAAAATTCGGGGAAATTAAGAATGGCTAGAAGAACATACCTCTTCTGGGTTTTCCGACGACCTTAGCAACGGAGGCGGCAGGTCTAGGCAGCTCGGCCTTATTTTCCTCAACAGGAAACAAAACCCCGTCAACACCTTGAACAGAAATTCTCCCATCTGTATAAATATCAGGATCGAACAAATAAGCAGAGCCTTCGCCTTGTCCGAATTTTACCGACCCATCAGCCTCCTCCGCCACCACTTTGTGCGGCAGCCGGAGAGTATCATACCGGACTTTACCGAATCGCCTCACGGCATTGTACATACTTTCCTCCGTTTGGTACTCTGGTATCAAATGATAATACATTATTTGCTCCGGCGCCCCGGGTTCACTCAACTGATCTGTAGTCAATTTCGCCATGGCCTCATCATTTGGAGCTAAAACTGTTAATACATACCCTTCAGAGACTAATCGTCCCATTTCAGTTGCTAAGGATGTGAGATTTACGAGAATGTCCGCCATTTCGTTGTAGCCACCGTAATGTAGAAGAGTTTGGATGAAGTCCTTCACCTGGCTCTCGCCGTCGAAGTGGTGGTGAGGTCCACCTGGCCCCGGAGCGGGCGCCGGCGCCAGGGACGGACCGGGTGCCATGGCATCGAAAATGGGTAGAACAGGAGGCGCTCCCGCAGGGACTGGTGCTGGTTTCTTTAATCTGTGTGTTCTTGGGTCAACTTCCGGTGCTCCCTCAGGCAGCACGGCAGAAATGGACCTCAAACTCCGGCGAGTGTTGAAATCTTGTTGAACGGATTTCGGGATCAACACTCTCTCAATGCCGTGGATAATTCCATCGGGCCGGGTTATATCGTCGGGTTTGATAATCTTCGCCATGCCCACAAGTTTTTCCCCCTTTTTTTCAACCACCTCAAGTGTTTCTCCATTGGAATCCCTGGCCAAGCTGTTATGATTATTCGGTTTTTCTACCTCCACAGGCCAGCGAGTTGACTCAATGCGAGTCGGAATCATATGAAAAAGCAACAGATTTTGGAGCGATTTCAGATTCCCCGGCTCGAGCAAAAACCGCTTGAACTCGGGATCCAAATCCCTTTCCAAAGCCTCATTCCTGGGAGCAAAGATTGTAATATTATGTTTCGAAACTGCCTCTTCAAGGGTTTGCAGCAAAAGTGCTTTTTCCACGAGTTCCGATAACTCAGTATAGTGAGAATCCAAAAGGGCAACAAGAACTGAGTTGGAGTTGATCTGGACTGAGTTTGAGGACCCTGCAACCGAGTTCTTTGCTGATGGATTTTGATTTTGTTGCAATGCAGCACTTGTGATGACAAGATCGGTGAAGATTGTGTAGAAGATGATTCTAGAGACGCCATAGATGTCCATGGCCCTTGAATAACTTTAATCTCTATCTCCAAAACACTTTGCTTTCTCTCTCTACAACAATTTGGCTTCTCTCTCTATAATGGTTTTTTTGGGACAGCGAACTTAGGAGTTTGGCTTGTGTTGTATTGTTTGGGGGAATCTTAAAGTAGGGGCAAAGTGAGGGGTGGGTAAAGGTTAAAGCTAAAGGGGGGATTGGGTTTTATTGTTTGAAAAAGAGATTAAAAATGGGATTGCTTGGAGATTAAAAAGGCCAGATACATGTGTACAAAAGGGTGGAATTAATGATGATTTAATAATTTGTTTCGACCTAACAACTCGATAAGAGTAGGGCCCGTTTATTCCTGTTATTTAGTACCATTGATGCTATAACATCGAGTAATGCTAATGCATCAAATACACACTTGACATGTGTGTGCCACATAGGACGACTGCTACAATGAACGACTGCAAGTAGCATTATTCTTATAACATCAGTCTAAGCGATAAACTAAATAAAAATTATAATTAAATTATTCAATTAATTATATGTCTCATTTATGTCATATTATTTCAATTTAGATTGATATTTTAATATCGGTGGTGTTAAATAGTATTGCAGATTATTGAAAAAAATCATTTTATACAAGCAAAATATTTTCAAAAAATTAGTTAAATATGTTTGAAAATAATTTTTTAATCTTAAAAACAATTTTTGACTTTTTAAAAATCATGTTGAACATGCTCTAAGCTTGAACTTTTCTTCTTACAAATGACAGGTTTGGAATCATCTGAACAAATAAAGAACTTATCCATGTTACAATTATCGTGATAGTGATGCATAGCGGGACTCCACTCCCTCGATAAACTTCAGATGTAAGTTAAAATAAGTTATATGAAATATGATATAATATCACATTTTATTTATTAGTTACGAAATAGCAATAGATGACTATCAAGTCGTGACCGCTAGGGTAGGACCATTCGGTGAGATTTAGAAGTTTCAAAA